TACAAATGACAGTTTACTTTTACCAAACAGCTTATCAACTGATCTTTAAGTAAATATTGCAAATGTTACAAAGCCCCTCAAAAATCCCAACATTATTTTTACAGATTAGGAAAGAATGAAGTCCAAAAACAACAATAACTCAATTAAAATAACTCATGCTTGTTTTTACACAAAATTTCATGAGCATAATATATTTGTCGCATCACTGCAATTACTCCCTGAAAATAATACTCTAAATATTATTTTGACAATGTAATTACAGTTCTTACTTCAAGAGTGGTAACAAAAAACTGGCAAAGATACCCTGCTAAAAATCTGCCAGAGTAAGGTTCTCACAGAGAAACAGTTAAAAGACAGTAAATATACTTTATTAGGAACCAGAATACTATTTAAAACATTATTTGTATTAGATTTGAACTAATACACTATATTCTTAAAATTTCACTGTTGAATCCAAATTTCATTGTTGAATTCCAAGTAAACTGAGTAATTTCAATAGCCATCTTTTTGTCTGTTTTTGTTTTTTGTTGTTGTTTGTTTGTTTTTTTTTTGAGTCAGTGTCTCACTCTCTCACCCAGGCTGCAGTACAGTGGCATAATCACGGTTCACTGCAGCCTCAACCTTCCGGGCTCAGGTGATCCTTCTGCCTCAGCCTCCTGAGTAGCTGGGACTACAGACATGTACCACCACACTCGCCTAATTTTTAAATTTTTCTGTAGAGATGCTGTCCCGCTATGTTGCCTAGGCTGGTCTTGAACCCCTAGGCTCAAGCAATCCTCCCACCATGGCCTCCCAAAGTGCTGGGATTATAGACATGAGCCTGGCCAGCTGCCTTTTTCAAAAAGGCAGTGAGAAATATAACTTACCTCCCATTTCCTTCTGCCTCAATAATATCCTTCCTAGTCTGTCCCTAAACACAAGTCATCTACTTCAAACTGACACAACTGAAAAATTTTAAAAACTCAAGCCTGTAATCCCAGCACTTTGGGAGGCTGAGGAAAGAGGATGTTAAGCATACAGTTATATGATCCAGCAATTCCACTCCTAGGTATATACACAAATGAACTGAAAACAAGTACTCAAACAAACACATGGGCTCCGGCGATCCTTCCATCTCAGCCTTCCAAGTAGCTGGAACTACAGGCGTGTGCTAATAATAATACTCACAGCAGCATTATTAATGACAGCTACAACATAAAAACAACCCAAGTGTCCATCAACAGAGGAATGGACAAACACTGTTTATACAATATATTCAGAGAATGGAATACTATTCAGCTATAAAAAGGAACAAAGTATTAATACGTGCTACAGTGTAGATGAACTTTAAAAACATTATGCTAAATGAAAGAAGCCAGACACCAAAGGTCATGTAATTCCATGATTCCATTTGTACAAAATATCCAGAATAGGTCAATCCACAGAGACAGAATGCAAAATGGTGGTTGTCAACAGGTACGGAAAGGGAGAAATAGAGAATAGCTTAATGAAAACAGGGTATCCTTTTGGGGTGATTTTTAATTAGATAGAGGTGGTAATTGCACAATTCTTTGAATATACTGTCACTCAATTGCTCACTTTAAAATGATTAATTTTATATAACATGAATCTCACATCAATAAAAAATAATCAATTAAATAAATCCAACTGCAACTTCCTGAAATGTGAACAATTCTTAATATAGCTAATACAAAACAGGTCTATAGAGATCTTCTTTCTCAAGCCGGGCTTGGTGGCTCAGCCTGTAATTCCGCTCTTTGGGAGGCTGAGGTGAGTGGACTGCCTGAGCCTGCAGGTTCGAGACCAGCCTGGCCAAGTTGGCGAGACCTTATCTCTATAATAAATCAAAAAATTAGCCAGGCATGGTAGCACACGCCTGTAGTTCCAGCTACTTGGAAGGCTGAGACGGAAGGCTGAGATGGAAGGATCGCCGGAGCCCAGCAGGTCAAGGTGGCTGGGAGCAGCCACTGCACTCCAGTCTGGGTGACAGAGTGAAATTCCAACTCAAAAAAAAAAAAAGATCTTCTTTCTCTGGTTAATGGACATCAGTGAATAGCCAACCCATCAACCAAATAACCAATTTATTCCTCAATGACAAACTGGTTCATAAAAGCAGTTTCAGATATCTGCTCCTTTAATTTTTTGTCTTAGGTCATCTGCCTGCTTCAGTAAGAATTAATCCTGTTGGGAAAGGATCAAATAATCTTTTATCATATATTGTAAAAACTAAAATACTTTGTAACAAATTTGGGGATACAGCAGAAAAAAGGGATAACGGACTAAGGGGATGCAAAGTCAAGGGAAGATATTTTTAGAATGTAAAATGGGAGAGCATATTATATGCTGATGAAAATGATACAGAAAAGAGGGAAAAACAGGCTGCCTGAGAGCAAGGAGATCATTTTATGAGTAGGCGAATGGGGATGGGATCCAATGCACAAGTGGAGGGGTTAGCTCCACTTTAATAGTTATTTAATCACCACATTTGTGCAGCACTTCCCCTGTGCTTCTTTATTTAGGAATACATCATTAAAAAAGAAACATCTTTCTGCCCACTACAGCACTTCAGCTCTGCTGTGACACATACCCACAATATCAGGATCACCAGTTATAAAATGTGGTACATTCCAAACTTGCTTATTGAAACTACCATACCACAAACAGACTTCAAAAATAGCTACCTTACCATGCAACACAGTGAAACATGTACTTTATTGCTGATTTTTAATTACCCAGTTTTGAATATTGAGGCTTCCATTTTATTACAAACTAGAACTACAAAAATCTTTAAATATATAACATCTTAAAAATACTTTCAAACTAAATCCTACCTCCTATCAATTTCTTAAGAATAGTTTAAAAACTATTGCTGCTCAAAAAAACTTACAGTACTACTTTGTGTGCAAGTTCTTAGAAGATGTAATTAATTTTTTTAATTACTATTTCCCAAAGGAAGATTTCTAAATCAAACAGAAAGATCCAAAAACTTTTAGCAAATTTATCTTAAAATGAAAATACTAAGAAATCACAGAACAGAACAGGAATTAAACCAAGCAAGGCAGCACTTCTGACACACTAACGTAGCCTATTTCACCTAGTGTTTTAGTTCCGGTGCCTGTAAAAACGAGACTATCACCTCTAGTTTTCTTCTATCTACCAAGAGTAGCATGCATATTAACATTAACATAAATATGCCTCGTGAATAAGCACAGGCATTAAGAACTGTATATAAAATAATTTATAAGTCAAAATCATATTTTGAATACAGCTGGAGATTTCTCATTTAAAAGAAATATTCACTGAATTATTTTATAAGGTAAAGACATTTTTTATTACAAGGAAAAAGTTTAACCTACAATCTAATATATCTAACTTATAAGCCTGGATACTGACTTAAGATTTTCTCACCAAATGGCCTAGGTCTACTCATAAAGGACTTCAATTCCTCAGAAAAAATTATCATATATTAAAACTCTATGAGCCGGGCTCGGTGGCTCAGCCTGTAATCCTGCACTTTGGGAGGCTGAGGTGAGTGGATTGCCTAAGCCCACGGGATCGAGACCTGCCTAGGCAACTTGGCAAAACCTCATCTCTACAATAAATAAAAAAAATTAGCCAGGCATGGTAGCGCACGCCTGTAATTCCAGCTACTTGGAAGGCTGAGGCGGAAGGATCGCCGGAGCCCAGCGGGTCGAGGCTGCAGTGGCCGGGACCGTGCTACTGCACTCCAGTCTGGGCAATGGAGTGAGACTCCAAATCAAAAAAAACAACTCTGTGGATTTTTTTAAACATTATGTTAAGATAATAACCCCTGTTCAAAGAAGAGGGGTTGATGCTAGTAATACAAAGACCAAAAACATTCAAATAACTGTACAAAGTTTCCAACTCTTCAAACTAAGAAATTTGGTGTTTCTGTTAATCCCATGTCAATAGCCATAACTACCAGAGCGAACTTCCCTTTCTGTCACACTAGATCTTAACTTAATAGATTCAACATCTGGCTCCCCTCACTTGAATGTTGAACTCCCAAAGGGCAGAGATTTTTGTCTGTTTTGGTCATTGTTCAAATGATACCCAAAATCTAGAACAGGATCTGTCACATCCATAAATATTGAAAGATGGTGTATTAGTCTGCTCAGGTTACCATACAGGCTGCATGGCTTAAACAACAGACATTTATTTTCCCACAATTCTGGAGACTAGAAGTCTAAGACCAAGGTGTTAGCAGGGCTGATTCTTCTGAAGCCTCTCTCCTTGACTGGTAGATGGCCATCTTCTCCCTATGTTTTCACATGGTCTTCATTCTATGTAAATCTGTATTCTAAGCTCTTCTTATAAAGATGCCAGTCATATATCCTCATTTTACCTTAATTACCTCTTTAAAGGTTCAATCTCCAAATACAGTCAGATTCTGGGTACTGGGGGTTAAGACATTGCTATGATCGGAATGTTTGTGTTCCTCCAAAATTCATATGCTGAAATCTAATACCCAGTGTGCTGGTATTAGGAGGTGGAGCCTTTGGGAGATGACTGGATCATGAGGGTGGAGCCCTTGTAAATGGGATTAGTGTCCTTATAAAAGGATCCCCAGTGAACTTGTCTGCCCCTTCTGACATGAGGACATAGCAAGAGGCACCATCTATGAAGCAGAGAATAGCCCTTACCAGACACGACATCTGCTGACACCTTTATCTTGGACTTTCCAGCTTCCAAAATTATAACCCATCAACTTCGGTTTTTTATATATTACCTAGCCCAAAATATTTTGTTATAGCAACCAGAACAGACTTTGATGTATGAATCTGAGGGGAACAAAATGTAGCCTACAACAGGAAAGGAAGTTGCTGAAACTTATAATAATTATTTAATATTTCACTATTCAAGTTTCCCTATGTAATGAAATACAGAACACAGCTTCAATGAATGATGCAATACTCAAAGCATTGGTTTTAAACTCTTTTCAAAGATATAAATAATCCATCAATTATGTTGCATGTTACCTGTCAACAGGGATTCCTGCTCCACTCGCAGTTCACGAAACAGAAGAATCAAATCAACAGAAATACCAATCATATCCAAGTTCCTGTATCAGGTTTTTTAAAAAGACAAAATTAGACACCTATGCTTTTTTTATATCTGTACTTCAAATAACAATTCAACTAATGGTACTGAGACTTGGTTAATAGTTCCTGTGGCAAACAGAATAATGGTCCTCCAAAGATTTCTGTATCCCAACACCCAAAATCAGAATACGTTACCTTACATGGCAAAAGGGACTTTACAAATGAGACTAAATTAAGGATCTTTTCTTTTTCTCTCTCTCTTTTTTTTTTTGAGTCTGGAGTGCCATGGCACGCTCATGGTCACTGCAGTCTCAACCCACTGGGCTCAGGTGATCCTTCCACCTCAATCTTCCAAGTAGCAGGAACTACAGGTGCATACCACTATGCCCAGTTTATTTGTCTGATTTATTGCAGAGATGAGGTCTCGCCACATTACCCACGCTGGTCTGAAATCCTGGGCTCAGGCAATCCTCTCGCCTCAGTGCTGGGATTACAGGGATAAGCCACCATGCCCAGGCTTAATTAAGGATCTTGAGATGGGAAGGTTATTACAAATCATGTGGGTAGGCCCAACATAATCACAAGAATCCTGAGAAGAGGAACACAGAGTCAGGGGGAAGGCGGCCATGGACCAAGGAATGAAGGAAGCCTCTAGAAGCTAGAAAAGGCAAGAAAACCAATTCTCCCTTAGTGCCTCCATAAAGAACACAGTTATATTGACCCATTTTAGACTTCTGAATTTCAGAACTGTAAGATAATAAAAGGTGTTGTTTTAAGTCACTAGGTTTTTGGTAATTTGTCACAGCAGCAATAGGAGACTAATATAGATTTGGGTAGCAGAGGTGGACTGCTACTGTAACAATATTATAAAATGTGGAATTTTGAGAAGCAGGATAGAAAAAGTCTCTATTTCCTTGAACAGACTATTGGTAGAAATAGGGACACCTAGCCGGGCTCGGTGGCTCAGCCTGTAATCCCGCGCTTTGGGAGGCTGAAGTGAGTGGATTGCCTGAGCCTGCGACGTCAAGACCTGCCTGGGCAACTTGGCGAGACTTCATCTCTACAATAAAAAAAAAAAAAAAGCCAGGCATGGTAGCGCGCACCTGTAGTTCCAGCTACTTGGATGGCTGAGGCGGAAGGATCACCGGAGCCCAGAAGGTCAAGGCTGCAGTGGCCGGGAGCGTGCCACTGAACTCCAGTCTGGGTGACAGAGTGAGACTCCAACTCACAAAAAAAATAAAAAAGAAATGAGGACACTTAAAGGCACAGCTGGTGAGGGTTCAGAAGGAAATGAGGAACACGTTATTAGAGACTGGAGGAAAGATATTACTCACTACATACTGGCAAAGATGAGCTGAGTTGTGTCCTAAAGTTATGTGGAAGGCAAAACTTGTAAACAATGAACCTGGCTAAGCAGAATTACAAGCAAAATGCTAGCCGGGCTCGGTGGCTCAGCCTGTAATCCCGCGCTTTGGGAGGCTGAGGTGAGTGGATTGCCGGAGCCCGCGGGTTCACGACCCGCCTGGGCAGCGAGACTTCATCTCTACAATAAATAAAAAAAAAAAAATCGGTCGGGCGTGGTAGCGCGCGCCTGTGATTCCAGCTACTCGGAAGGCTGAGGTGGAAGGATTGCCGGAGCCCAGCAGGTCAAGGCTGCGGTGGCCGGGAACAGCCACTGAACTCCAGCCTGGGCAACAGAGTGAGACTACAACTCAAAAAAAAAAAAAAGAATGCAGGCAATTTTTGGAATCTAGAGAAGGAAATGGATTCTCCCTCAGAGCATCCAGAAAAAACTAGCCCTGCAGATACTTTGACTTCAGCCATTAAAACTAATTTTGAAGCCGGGCTCGGTGGCTCAGCCTATAATCCTGCGCCTTGGGAGGCTGAGATGAGTGAATTGCCTGAGCCCGCGGGTTCGAGACCCGCCTGGGCAACTTGGTGAGACCTCATCTCTACAATAAATCAAAAGATTAGCCGGGTGTGGTAGCACGCGACCGTAGTGCCAGTTACTTGGAAGGCTGAGGCGGAAGGATCACCGGAGTCCAGCAGGTCGAGGCTGCGGTGGCCAGGAGTGGCCACTGCACTCCAGTCTGGGTGACAGAGTGAGACTCCAATTCAAAAAAAAAACAAACTAATTTTGAACTTCTAATCTCTAGAACTGTAAGATAAAACATTTCCACTGTTTCAAACTACTAAATTTGTGATCGTTTATTAAAGCAGCAACAGGAAACTAGCTCCCTATCTTCCTCACTGCTCCTCAACATGAATCAGAATTAAATTAAGACATTCACTCCTAAAGAAGAATCCTGATCTGAATGGATCAAATTTCAGAACACTGTGTTAAGACCCAGTTTTAATGGAAGGAGCTTTTAGATGGTCAGGGTAGGTATGCACATAGCTATGATGTTCTCTCCCATCCACAAGGCAAGAGGGAGCCACTGCTCCCTCTTCCTCCATCCATGCATAAGATGGGTTGGGAAAGTGGCTCAGCACCTGCCTCCCAAGAAAAGAAGAGGCCATCCAACCTCTCTTCCTACTTTTGCTTCTAAACAGACAGCTACCAGGCAAATGGGCCCATTGCTTGCTTGTGTATAGTCAGTGAGCTAAGAATAGCTTTCACTCTTTTAAATGGTTGAAAAGTAATCAAAACAGTAATTTCATGACATATGAAAATGTTATGAGATTCAAATTTCAGCGTTTATAAATGAATTTTATAGGAACACAGCCATGCTCACTCATTCACATATTGTCTATGGCTGCTTTCGTACTATAATGGGAGATTTGAGAAATTTGACAAAGATCACAAAGCCTTTTTTTTTTTTTTGAGTCAGTCTCACTCTATTGCCCAGGCGGTAATGCAGTAGCACAATCACAGCCACTGCAGGCTCAACTTGCTGGGCTCAAGCGATCCTTCCACCTCAGCCTTCCAAGTAGCTGGAACTACAGGCATGGGCCACCACATCCAGCAAGAGTAAACTATTTATTACCTGGAACTTTACAGAAAAAGTATAGCAACTCCAGCAATAGGGGTTATATTTACATGTAGAGCTAACTGCTTTGAACAGTTTTCTCTGAGTACTTCCTGAAGCTTCATATGCTTTGCTGTATTATACCATATTCCACATATCCAAAAACAATCCAAGTTCACACAAAGTGAGAAAGATGTGAAAAAAATCTAAGTCTTAATAGCATCACAACTTTTGATTATCTCTTCAATAACTTAAATTAAAACATCAGAAAAATATAAATTGGTTGCAATCTGAATCTTGACTGGCTTGGAAATACAGGCTTTAGTTAAGGTTAACCATAAAATCCTCACTAGAATCTGTTGTATTTTTTGACTAGAAAAATTCTTTTCTGAAAATGGATACCCTGAATGGTTGGAATTTCCCTTTGAAGAGCAACAGTGAATAATAATATAATTCTAGAAGGTAAGAGGCAGACAAGTTAACACACTTAATTGCTCTTTTTTATTTCAGCCCAACCATAAGTTGCATGTAATAAAAAAAAAAATACAAGCTGGGTTCGGTGGTTCAGCCTGTAATCCCACGCCTTGGGAGGCTGAGGTGAGTGGATTGCCTGAGCCCAAGGGTTCAAGACCCGCCTGGGCAACTTGGTGAGACCTCATCTCTACAATAAAACAAAAAATTAGCCGGGCGTGGTAGTGTGCGCCTGGTTCCGGCTACTTGGAAGGTTGAGGCAGAAGGATCGCCAGAGCCCAGCAGGTCGAGGCTGCGGTGGCCAGGAGTGGCCACTGCACTCCAGTGTGGGCGATAGAGTGAGACTCCAACTCAAAAAAAAAAAAAATATATAGCTACCACACACAACACAGTCCTTACTTTGATGGCCCTGTCACAGACTATTGATATTTTATTTGCAATAGTATTTATTTTTGCAATGTTTGAGTTTTTATAGTTTACATATATTACTCCAAAAAAAAAAATGGGCCGGGAACAGTGGCTCAAGCCTACAATTCCAGCACTTTGGGAGGCCAAGGTGAGAGGACTGCCCAAGTCCAGGGGTTCGAGACCAGCCTGGGCAACTCCCCGTCTCTACAAAAAATAAATAAATAAAATTAGCTGGGTTTGGTGGCACGTGCCTGTAGTTCCAGCTATTTGGAAGGCTGAGGCGGAAGGACCACCTGAGCCCAGCAGATCCAGGTTGTGGCGGCCGTGAGCGTACCACTGCACTCCAGCCTGGGTGACAGAGTGAGACTTTGACTCAAAAAAAGAAAATGGACTGTTTTGAAAGAAAGGAGTATTATCATACACTTGTACTGTACTATCATTCCTGAAGCAGAAGGAGAAACATGTAACATTTGCTGAGCACACCATGTGCATGGGCATCATTAGGCACCTATATAAGTAATCTCATATATACTTCACAACCAGCCTGTATAGAGGTCATTGCTTACCCCGTTTTACAGAAGAGAAAACTGATACACAGAAAGGCCAAGTCCAGGGTCCCATGGCTACATAAGGAATGGAGCAGTCATCTGCAACAAGGCCAGGGTGTACAGCTCAGGACAGGACAGACTACTTTTGAGCTTAAGCTTTAGAGAATCAGATATTGGGAGTCAGAGAGAATGTTCCCAGGCTCTCTCAATTAATAAGTGACTCTCGGACATGTTATTTAATCTTTCCAAGTCACAGTTTCTTCTTTTGTAAAAACGGAAAATAGTAGCATATCATTTCTTGGATTTGTTCTAAGGATAAACAAGATACTGCAAGTAAAGTACTTGGGACAAAGCCTGGTTTTAAGTGCAGTCTCACCGAATGCTCATTGTCTTCCCCACCCAGGCTAACGAAGCACAAAGATGTGTCTGCCTGTCACAGTTAACAGTCTGTTCTAAGACTCTGCTTTCCTGCCCTCATCACACTAGAGCACTGCACCGTCTAGAAAAAGACAAAAGAAACTAGCCTTCTAGCCAGATGCTTCTAACATATAACTAGTTATGTTTTAAAATGTTAACTATTATTATCAAGATTAGTATTGTTTCTATCCATTTATCTGCAAATGGATGGCAGGTCTGTTTAGAATTGAAGTTGGATGACTTTAGCTTTCTCCTCTCCTTTGATCTTAAAAAAATCTCATTAATCATATCAAAGCCTCAGGTATAAGAGTGTCTAAGTGAAAAGAGTCCTCAAGTGGCTTGTGGACCAGCCTAACCTCAACCGTCATAGCAGTGACAAGGAGGCCTGGAGGCTCTGTCTACATTCAGGTTCAGGAAAGAAAGGTGAGCATCCTGTCTGTGCTTTCTGACTTCAAGTAAAAATTTTAAATAAAAAACAGATTCCACAAAATCAAAGAGGAAAGATGCTCAGTTCTGGGAGGAAAGAGTAACATGTAAAAGCGAACAACAGCACTGGGCAACTCTCTTGTCCATGTTTTAACTATTTTTAAAAATGTGCCCATCATATAACAGGTAGAAGTAAAGCTTGGAACTTTTCACAATCTTAAAAAAGACAGGTCATCTTAGAAATTTACAAAACAAACTCTTGTTCAAAGTAAACACAAGGGTAACAAATTTAAACATCTACAACTAAGAAAAGTAAGGTCAAGGTCTACATACAAACATGCAGCATCTAAGAACAGAGAATCAAAATCAGCCGGGCTCGGTGGCTCAGCCTGTAATCCCGCACTTTGGGAAGCTGAGGTGAGTGGACTGTCTGAGCTCGCGGGTTCGAGACCTGGGCAAGACCTTAGCGAGACCTCATCTCTACAATAAATAAAAAAATCAGCCAGGCGTGGTAGCGCGTGCCTGTAATTCCAGTTACTCGGAAGGCTGAGGCGGAAGGATCACCAGAGCCCAGCAGGTCAAGGCTGCAGTAGCCAGAAGTGGCCACTGCACTCCAGTCTGGGTGACAGAGTGAGACTCCAGCTCAAAAAAAAAAAAAAGAATCAAAATCAACCTTAAATCACTGTACAGAACCCAATAACTCAAAACATGTTAGACCTGCAGGGGACCTCTCCCTGACTGTTGTAAAGAACAATCTTGCAATAACAGTGGATGATACTACAATACCAAAATCATTTCTAACAATAAACCTATATAACAGAACCAGCATGCACATACACAAAGAAATGTAATCAAAAGTATGTGTGTAGAGGGAATACTACCTGATTAAATTCTGGTTCACAGAACACTCTATACAAGCATTTCGGAGACACCTGAAGCTCTCTGTTATTAACTGTAGAGCAGAATCCAGATGTTCCACTTCTGGTGGATCTCTGCAGGCCAGCTCGACAGCACGAGAAGACTTCTTTAAGATATCCAGGATTCTCTGGAAGATAGTCATGGGTGCTGTTTCTCTGAAAAAGGGTAAAATTGTTACAAACCAGGAAAAAAAGGTTCTAATTTACAAATGTCCTGTTCAGAAAACTGCTTTTACCTACTTTTGTGGGGAAGAGGAGTGGGTTTGTCTGTTCCAGCTTCTACATTTATAACACAACATAAAAGAGCTACGTAGGTTTAGTGCTTATTATGTGCCAGGCATGGTTTCTTGCCCCTCTTCATGTATTATCTCATGTAATCTTTGCAATAACCTTAAGAAGCAAACACTGTTCTCTCCATTTTACAAATAAGGTAAGTGAAATAGAAAGAAGTTAAGTACTGTGCCCACATCACTCAGTCAATAATAGGCAGAGCCACAATTCCAACTTAAGTCTTCTGGCCAGAATAGTACTTCCACTCCTCATGACAACCCAGGTCAGATAACTGTTCAAACTTATGGATCTGTCCTTCATCAGAACAGAATATCTGCATTTCATGTTCTAGACAGAGAATATGGTCTGGTCCTCTGCCACTCAACATGTACTCAAGTTCAATTATGAGAAACAATATTCATGGAGGACTGCCTGAAGGACAAGGATGCTATCCACTCTTTAGATACAGTAAAGCTGGCAATATATGCACCAACTGTCTACATATTCAACTACATAGATTGGGAGGAGGGGAGAGAGGGAGTTAGGGAAGAAGACAGGGAGGCAGGGAGGAAGAGAGGATGTAAAGTATACCAGCTCTTCCACCAAGAACGTATGCCCAGAAAGAAAGATAAACCCACTGGGCATCTCAATCTCCACAGCCTCTCATGCCAGGAATACTGCCTGCACTGGCTATCACTCCAGAGCTCTGAAGAATTTTTTTGTGCAACATGGCATCTAGATGCAAGCCAACTTCCTCATTTCATAAATCCCCTAAAGAAACAGCAATCTGTTTTAATGTTAGAAGAAAAGTTGCCATCTTGGACAATTAAACATTCTCCCTTTGCTCTCACTGTGGAATAACAGTATCCTGTCTTTCACCCTCAGATTAAGCCACACTGGCAGGGAGCTGCACATTCATTCAGAACTCCAGACACTGAACTGCTGGGGTTACTCGGCTCCTAAGGTGCTACAGAAGACACTTTAAAGATGTTCCCTTTTTCGGGGCTAGCTAGAGGAGACACTTCCCTTGTCGAGCTACAAGAAATACCATGACTTCTTTTACACCAAGGGGTATTTCTTTCTTATGAACAGACAATAAAACTCACATTATTTATTATGCTTCCTCTCTGTCTGGGCATTTAGTAAGTCTGGAGTCAAATTTATGACCCATGTTTAACAACAACATGAATCCATATTTTGTCTATCTGACTTTTTCCTTTTCCCTAATTTCCTCTTTTTTCTTTTTATTGTATTTACTTTTTAAGGCACCTTAAATTTGTTTTTGGAAAGAAGCAGAGTATAAATTAATAAACTGAAAACAGAGAAAAATCACACATAAAATAATTTGCCCGTATCTCCCCCAAGTAAGTCCTCTCTATGTGTAGATCATGAAATTGTGACTCTGAGTCTCAAGGATTGAGTGACCCAATAAACAAGCGAAAGGTATAGCATTAATCCTGCCTGGACAACTGTATGAAACAATTCAGTACATACGCCATTTTTGGTAATAATACTGCCATAAGAAGAACATTCACTAACATTCTCATGCTAGCTCTAAGGAGTGCTGAATGAATATACTGCAGAAGCTGATATGCGAAGAAAATACTCAGAAGTTTAAAACATTGTGAAGAATGCCAATAACGATCACAATTTCTGTGACAAAGAACAAACTAAATTACCTCTGCCCCATCTGTAGAAAGGTTTGATGCCATTTATTACTTAATATTACAGTTAAGTAAAAGTAACAACTTGAATAATCTTCAATAAGTCCCTTTTTTCCACTAATATGGCTAAGAAATGTGCATTTACACCTGTGATAAAGCAGCCAGTATTATATCCTGCCAGCTGGTCCTTTGCCATTTGTCTCTCACATAGGCATCATCTTCCCACTGTGAGAAGTCTTCCCTGAGGTCATTCCTTGAAATCTTAACATCTGTTTTACTTAAAATAGATATGTAGCACAGCAAAAGCTTTGGAGTCAAACTATGATACAGACTAAACAAGATAGAAGAAAAACAAAGCTCTTAGGAAAACTGGAAAACAAATATTCTGATCATAGAAGAGTAAGTTCATGAACTGTCTTGTGAATAATTCCCAATGTTACATGTTTATCTGTCATATATATGCACCATACCTTTATCCAACTTTTAACCAAATGGAAAATGTTTAAATGAGCTAAACCAAAAGATTCCAGAAATCCAAATAACTATTAATAGCTACTAAAGAGTAGTCATGGCAACATCTATTTGGCACACAATAATTCACCTTTGCAGTAGAAAGAGAAAATAATTTGGGACTGTGATCACTGTCATTTGCTCTCCCCAGGTTGCATACCCAGAGATTCCTGAAAACACCAAGCACCTCCAATCTTCTGTGTCTTTGCTCAAACATATCCTTTCATCAGAATGCCTTTTCTGTATCATCCCCACCCAATTTTCTGCCTGGGAGAATCCTGCATCTCCTTTTAAACCTTTTGAAAACTCACAGCATGGTGAAACTCCCCCACTACTCCTGGCAAACTGGCTGCCATTTCCATGCTGCCCTGGAACTCTGAACATTAAGAATGGAATAACTTGTCCATATCAGATAGTATTTACATATCCTCTCTCTCCATCTAGGCTATAAATCTTTGAAAAATAGAGACTACCTTATTATTTTCTGCATCTCTAGGGACCAGAACTGGCATCCACTAACTAAACTGGTTTAAGTTTAAAACAGTGATGAGACTGCACATTCTGAGTGGCCCCTGACTGCATCACAACCTCACTACGTAACCCAAGCAATTACAGTCTCAGAGTCATGGATCGAACCTGATGAGTAGTGAAATTAGTGCTCTCTGAGGTAGCAAATGAAAGAAGAGAAATACTGAGGCAGCAGCCCACCTCTTGCATTCCCATTAAGAAATTCACATATCCAGCCGGGCTCGGTGGCTCCGCCTGTAATCCCACGCCTTTGGGAGGCTGAGGTGAGTGGATTGCCTGAGCCCACGGGTTCAAGACCTGCCTGGGCAACTTGGCGAGACCTCATCCCTTCAACAAGTCAAAAATTAGCCGGGCGTGGTAGCGCGCACCTGTAGTTCCAGCTACTTGGAAGGCTGAGGCGGAAGGATCGCCAGAGTCCAGCAGGTCGAGGCTGCGGTGGCCGGGAGCGGCCACTGCACTCCAGTCTGGGCGACAGAGTGAGACTCCGACTCAAAAAAAAAAAGAAATTCACATATCCTAGACTCAGAAATTTGTAAAGGGGTCATATTTAAAGATGCAGATATAATGTAGAAATGTTATAATTGCTATTTAACAAACATCTAATTTCTCCTTAGAGAAATTTCTCATTAAATGTAGGGAGGAGTTGTAACCCAATTAACTGTATTTTAAATTTCTTAAGCACAAAGAACACACTTTAGATGTTTGTTTCCCTCTACAAAAAGTAGAAATAAAAAAAAAAAAAACTAAAAAACCCTTTCTCTAGAGTCATATAATAAATAGTTATAAACTCTATTCACTATATTTTTATACAACTAAGATAGGGACCCCAAAAGACCCAGAGTTATTTTTTGGAGGGCAGGCCTCTTGTAGTACAAGCTTCCCCCACTAGGTAAGTATTCTAGGAACCCATTGGCACCAGCTAGCATTGTTGTGAGAGGCTTTATTTGGCTCCAGTGAAGTTTTTTTTTTTGGAGATTCTTTCAACACATTTGCCCGTTTCATGATGGGTGATTTACAAGCGCACCTGCCCCACATCACACTGAGTGTTCAACAATTTTTGACCAAAAACGGCTTGATCCCCGTTGCCCCACCCCCCCAATTCACCCAGTCCTGCCCCAGTGACTTTTTTTTGGTTTCCCCAAATGAAAAAAGTCCTCAAAGGGAAACATTTTGCCAAACTGGAAAAGGTGAAACAAAAAACAGCAGAAGCACTAAAAGGCATCAAAATTGATGAGTTCAAAAACTGTTTTGAGCAGTGGAAAAAGCATTGATAGGTGTATTGCATCAAATGATGAGTACTTTGAAGGTGACTAAAGTTTAAACATGTATGAATAAATACATCATTTTTATAAATAAATTCCAGGGGGTTTTTTTGGGTCCCCTCTTGTAAAATACTTTAACAACTTTTTCATCAGATGAGGACAAAGAAGCTTCTATTCAATAACAGTAAATACTATGAAAGCATTTAACCCTCTTCTAGACATCTTTACCTTGTCCATAGCCTTGAAAAAAAAATCAGCATTATAGATCCAAAGTAGTCCTAATGTACTGCAAAATCTATGTTCATTGTCAAGACAATGCAGCTAAATATATGTAATGATTAACAACAACGCAAGAGCTAGGAAAGATCAGTCAATCATTCCAATATTAGAAACATTATTAATAACATCTGCTGTCATTTCTGCTTTAACTAAACTAACAAAAAATATTCACAAAGACTTTAAAAAACTTAGTTACTTCATTCACAGGAGGCTGAAAGTACTTACAAGGACAATTAAAATTCAACCGTTAGACATTCCTATTAGAAAGGAATGCATACCCTGAAGACAATGTATAAATGAAATGTTACATTACAGAACAAAAAAAACCTCTTTGAATTATACAAAAGGTAGAATTTCATTTCCTTCAAGTTTGAACAGATCTGTAGGGTTTAATCTTGGCATGTCCTGTTGAGTAAAATTAAAGAAAACTACTGTGATTATAAGTAACAGGTTAGATAGGTCTAATATACTATATGTACACACATTTTCCAGTTAATTCATCAGGTGGAAACTCCTACTGAAAAGAAAACTACATGCCAGTTGTTGTATTACTACAACTAGTCTTTCATACTTGTTAAAAGATTTATTCCAATACCTTAGATTTAATTAAAAACTGGTATATGTGGTTTAAAGTAGTTTAACCA